GGACGACATAAAGAAGAAGAAGATGATGAGGAGGAGGACGAGGACGAAGAAGAAGAAATGTTGAGGAGGACGACGAAGGAAGAAAAAAAAAATACAGCACTCCCCGTCTCTTCACAAGGCAGATAAACGGATTCTTTTTGCTCACAAGGCAGTAAACGGATTCTTTTTTTTTTTTAATTTGAAAAACATAAATCGGCATACGCCATTTGAAATTCCCTTTTTCTTTTATTTTAGTCAGTACATTTGAATGACTGCTAGATTTTAAGATTTTCCTCATCGGGAAAATATTGGCTTATCTGATTTTGTACTTGAATTTCCGAGATCAGCACAAATTCCCATGACTCATGAACTCTTTTCCTTTCCTTAAGAAGCGCTATGTCAAAGGGGCTCTCCTGCAGACAAACAATCCCAGGAACCACAGACTTCAACCTCCGCCATTGGACAGCGACGTGCTGATGAAAACTATGGGACTGGAGTGCCTCTGAGTCACAGGCTGTAGTCAATAACATTTCATCTTTTTTTTATATATACAAACCTTCGAAAGCATTTCGACTCAACCCTGATTAATCAGGATTCAGCTTACATCCGATTGCAAATATAGTAACACGGTGACACACGATTCCTTCTGAACAATACTTTTATTTTAAAAGGGGAGATATAGATGGTTTAAGAATTATATTGGAGTAATAATGAGGAGGAGAAGAAGGAAGAGGAGGGGAATAATAATAATAATAATAAAAAGAAGAAGAAGAACAACAACAACAACTACAACAGCAAACAATATACTACAGAAGCTACGAGACTAAAAATTACCATAAAAGTAAATCCATTTGCTATCTAATAGACATGATCATACCATCTGACAAAAACATTACAAGAAAATGGCGCTGGTGATTTAAGAAGACTTGCTTTCGTTCAATTTATAGCAACGACAAACTTCTAAACAATACTTCTATTTTAAAATGGGTGTTTTACAGGGTGTGAGTGCTATTTGAGGACATGTTTAGTATGTTAAATAAACAGCAATATCTTAGCAAACAATGTATATATTTAATTCAAATTGACACAAATATCCTTCATGATAAGTCTTTATCGAATTATTCTATGAAAACCACCTTTGGCTTCAATGACTGCTTCTATTCGGGCTCGAAACCGTCCACATGCTGCAATTAAGTACTCCCTATTCCTTTTGGACATCAGCTGGACAATGTCGGCCTTCAGTGCAGTTATGGTACTACGAGGATGTCGATTAGTCTCCCTTTCAATGACGCTCAACACGTAATAGGCCATAGGATTTAAATCTGGCGAGTTAGGGGGCCACATGTTGGGGGTCACTTGATCGTAAAAATTCTCTGATAACCAATCCTGGATTACAATGGCTTTGTGAGAAGGTGCAGAGACTTATTGAAAGACATATGGTCTTCCATTGTATACCTTATTGTTCCAGGACTTAACAACCCTTTTAAGAACATTAATGTATCCAGTAGCATTGACCCTAAGACCTTGTGGGAAAATGTAAGGTGGCATGACATGACCTTCACTGCTCACAACTCCTAAAACCATCACAGTAGCCGGATATTTGATGTGCATCACCCTGGGTACTTCAGAAGGAGATGCACATAGCCACCTGTCATTTCGTCTGTTTGTTTTCTGATCTTGGTCAAAGATTTTTCGCCAGAGAAAAAAAAAACAAAGCATGCCATGTTCGTGGGGATTTTTCACTTTGTTCAGCAACCATTTTGAGACGGTTTTCCTGTGTCTTTGCCGATAGGAATTAACCTTTCCTCATTACATATGACTTATATCGAATGTCCTGATGTACCACTGTTCTGATAGTCCACGCTGATACCTGGAGTTCTTTGGCGATGGACCTCATTGATCTTCCGGGGTTCTCATCGATGATGTTTTGAACATTCCGTAAAAATTCTGGTGTCCTCACGGTATCAGAGCGCTGTGAATGCATTTTTTTCTTTTTACTACGTGGGGAAACATTGCCATCACATCCCTCTAGCTCCAACCGAACCTTATGAACAAAACATCTGGCAACATGTAAAAAGTTACTGATTTTTAAATCACTATGTTTTGCAGCTAAAGCAACAATGACTGTATGTCTTTTCATTTCTCGGGTTAGCATATTCCTCTGACTGTGTTATCTGAAATTTTAAAAAATATTATAAATGATCTGAGTGTGTAGTGTACATAAAATAATATGTCCTCAAATAGCACTCGCACCCTGTATATGGCTGAAGTAATAAGAAATAGGAGGAGTTACAGCATTACATTGTTTGATTTAATCCAATTGTTTCTATCAAATCGTGAAATGAAGGCCATTCTGTACGGACTCGCTACCAGATCCTTTCACACCAACGTGGATTTCCCCCAAATTTCTATCCTGGCTCCTACGCTGTTTTGATCTTCTTCTCAATAGCACATCCGTCAGAGCTGAACAAGTTAATCAGACCTTCGGTAAGTGGTTAATCGGAGCATGAAATGACTTGTAAATTTTGATGACCCCAGAAATAATCTGCTATCATTTACCCATCGTAGAGAAACTTCCCTGCCCTCCATTAGCATGGCTGATGCTCGACTCCTGAAGAGTGTCTCTTTGTACCTTCTTTTGGCTCACGTTTTCAACTGAATTGAAGTGGAACAACTACATTGTATTAATAGTTGTATCTATTGCAAGGAAAGATGGGTTATTGTGTCGTGCTAGGTTTTTTTCTCATCAGACTCCATCTTGCCCATTTACAAATCTACCGTTCAGCCGTGTATTGAATGCTGTTCCCATCTGGTCGGGTGCTCTTGAGGTTCTTGAGAAAATTCGAAGAAAGATCTGCAGTGTAATCGATCCTGACTTGGCATTTCAACTCCAGTCACTTTATTACAGACGTAATGTGGAGTCCGTCTGTCTTTTTTACAAGTATGTTCATGGCAACTGCTCTGACAAGATTTTTTTTCCTGGTTCTCCAACTATATCAATTTAAGAGTGCTACTAAATTGTACTTGTGCCACTTCCAGCTTGCTTGGGGTAAAAGGATTAAAACAAGAAGAAGAAGAAGAAGAAGAAGAAGAAGAAGAAGAAAAACAACAACAACAACAATAACAACAGTCGAAACTATTAAATGTAGCCGTCTCTTCTGCTCCAATAGATTCATGCCTCGCACCTCTCACCTGTGGAACTCCCTCCCATTTTCTTGTTTCCTGGATAGCTATAATCTCCAACTATTCAAATGTAATGTCAATCGACATATCCAGATGTCTTGATCTATCCCCTATCCTTCTCTTCATCCTTTTCTCTATCACTCCTATTTGCTCTCGCTCCAACTGTCTGTAACCCCTTGCGTGCTAGTGGCTTCCCGCCTTGCCTGGGGTGAAACGCTTAAAAAAACAAAAAAAAAACACAACAGACCATACAGAGGATGGTTCAAAAGTAGGCTTACACTTAGTAGCTATACATTTTACATTTTTAAAAACATTTTTTAACATTTATATTTATTTGTTACAATCAAATTTTTATTAGAACCGCTTATGCACATTTGTTTAATACTTTACTCACATTCTTTTAGCCTAGTTCAATCTCTTGAGTACTCAAAATGTCTTCCTTCAGTATTGCAGCATTCCTCGAGTTTCTCGAGAACGCTATGACACAGCGCAACACAAATATCGCTCTGCATGAATTTCAATCAATCCTTCTGAGATGTACTCTTTTAATTCATTCGCTGTGTGGGGGATTTCTCTGATAAAACTTGTTCTTTACAACACCCACAAAAAAGAAATCTATTGATGTTACGTCAGGCGAACGTGGTGGCCATTCTATTTTACCCCTTCTTCCGAACAAGCGACGTGGAAAGGTTTGGTTAAGGCAGTCCCTTGTTGCCAAAGCATAATGGTGAGGTTCTCTGTCTTACCGAAAGAACAGTTCGACGAAGGTAGCTCTGGTTCTGAGTTGTATCACTATAACTTCAAACATTAGAATACCTGTAAGCCTACTTTTGGCCCACCCTATAGAACCCACGAGCCTAAAAATGATCATAAAAGTTTTCAGGTAGTACAAATTTTATCTAAAAGACATGGTCATACCATCTGACAAAAACATTTCAAGAAAAGGTCGTTGTTAATATCGGTTACGATAACTAAGAAGGTGCTGGGAAACTTGCTTTCTTTCAGCAATGACAATCGAACAGCTGATATATTATTAATAATAATAATAATAATAATAATAATAATAGACTAAGTTGTAAGTTACAAATCATAATGATTTAATTTCAAAGATTTTTTTAAGAGAAAATTGGAAGAAACAACTGAAATGGGAAATATATGGAAAAATTGTGATAGATAGATAGATAGATAGATAGATAGATAGAAGACCAAATTGAAAAACCTTACATATGAACAGATAGATAGATAGATAGATAGATAGATAGATAGATAGATAGATAGATAGATAGATAGATAGATTGTATTGTTGGAAAATAAATACATCTTTGAAAGATAATCCCACTTATATTCATCTGACTTCAAATCACGATATGGATTTCGTACGGAACGCCAAAATGAAGACTAAGTTCATGTTCGGGACTCATCGCAACATGATAGAATCTTATTTTGTGTGAGTTCTTTTGGACACGTAAGGCAAAAAAAAAAAATAACAATGAATACATTTTTGAACAAATTTTGAAGGACATTTCTGAATTTGGGTGTGAATTTTAGTAAATATAATTATTTTTATTTTGGGGGGAATTAATATTTTGGGGGGAATTAACAAAAAAAGATCACAAAGCCATTTGCATTTATATATCGATGTATTCTTTCGATGTATAATTAAGCCAATTATTTTTTACTGTTTCGTTCCCATCCTCTAAACAGAGATGATTTCAACAATAAAAGCATCATTTTGTCTGAAGAAGTCTTTTTGAAAGACGAAACCCTTCACATAGGATTTTTTTCCATTCTGACATTCAGCTACCCACTATTTATCCGATATTAGATATATTTCGAGTTTATATATCATATTCTCCAATAGATAGATAGATAGATAGATAGATAGAATAGAAAGAAAGAAAGAATATTGGAATAAATAGAAAGAAAGCTATGAAGTGGAAGGAGGGTGTAATATTCAAAGAAAAGAAGAATAAAAGATCATATTTCTTATTATCCTGGGGGCTGGCAGTTCCTAAGAAGCAAATTTATTTTGCCAAAGAGGAACAGTTTGGTGTCATTTGGTACGAATTCATAATGAACTAGACCCGATCCATGACCACCCATTTTTATCATTCTTTCAACAAAATCTACAGTTTTTTTTTTAATTTGAAACCTGAATCGCTATCTTAAAAAGATTTTATTTTTTAAATACCCATTACAGAAAGTGGAACTGGCGTCAAAGCAATAACTAATGACATGGGACATAGATAGATAATTAACAGAATGAAATAGATAGATAGATAGATAGATAGATAGATAGATAGATAGATAGATAGATAGATAGATAGATAGATAGATAGATAGATAGATAGATGGGAAAATGAAAACGGAAAGAAGAATGAAAAAAAGAAGGCATGATATATTGGTAGATATGATCATACTACAACAGACTGACAGACAGACAGACAGACAGAAGAAGAAGAAGAGAGAGTGGCATGTTAATATCAGTAAACAGAGAAAGGAAAACAGAATGAAAGACAATATGGCGCCAAAGCAATAACTAATGATATTGGACATACATAGATATATGACATAAATTTTGGACATAGATAGATAGATAGATAGATAGAGGAACAGACATAGATAGATAGATAGATAGATAGATAGATAGATAGATAGATAGATAGATAGATCTCTGGTTGAAACCAAACCAATGAGTGTTTTTAAACTACAAGATATAAGAAGTCATTATATCTGGGCTCAGACAAAACTTCATCAACCAAAGTAAACACCATTAGAATCGACGCACCAAACGCATTCTATCGTGATAAAAAGTGTCGTCACGGGAGTTGATAATCTGCAGGAAGACATATTTGAACTGATCCGCATTGATGTACACCAACTGTTGCGTATATGCTTCTCAGGCCCAGAAAGAGTTGTAATCAGTAGGGGACCCGTCTGGTATATAGCTGGGTTTGATGCCGGACTTTGATACCCAATTGCGTCATTTTTTACTAGCTTGTGTGTAAATTGAGTGAATTTGCACTTTCCAGCAGCTATTTTTTGTTCAGCACTGTTGTACGAAATTCCTGGTATATTTGAGGCTTCACGATAGATAGACATGAATAAAAGTAGATATTTCAGGCTTACATAGATAGATAGATAGATAGATAGATAGATAGATAGATAGATAGATGAACGGATATATATATATATATATATATATATATATATAGAGAGAGAGAGAGAGAGAGAGAGAGAGAGATAGATAGATAGATAGATAGATAGATAGATAGATAGATAGATAAAACCAGTCAAAGCATTCAAAAATGTAGAAATAGATTGCATCTAGAAGGATATTCGTGTGGACATACAAATCTCAAGCTATATGTATGTCTGTATATATATATATATATATATATATATATATATATATATATATATATATATATATATATTTATATATATATATTTCTGGGAGGAGGTATTATGTACACTATTTAAATTGTTCAGACTATCGTCCTCAACTTTGTTGCCATCTTTATCATAACGTTTCGGCCATTTTACGGTCCGGCCTTCTTCAGGTGGTTGAACTCACTCCCTTTGGGTGCTGTCACTGAATCTAACTAACGCCTTTATCCACTGCGCCATGTGTCCTCACGGCACAGTTCAATACCCGGTTAAGGCAGTAGAGAACTTGGAGAAGGGAATTAACAGGAGATAACTGACATCCATTAGACATGGCACGTGGAACTAGAACAGTGTACCCCAGCGAACGAAATAAAGGGCTCAGTTCGACATTCCAAACACATGAAGAAAGCCGGAAAGTACAACGGCCAAAACTTGGCAGCAAAGATGAGGACGATAATCCGAACAGTGTAATATATATATATATATATATGTTTGTGCGTGTGTGTGTGTAACGTTGATGCTCAGTTTCAGCTGGTTGTCCGTTTGAGATTGTTTACTTATGTGCATCAAGAGAGGCATTTTTATTTTCACATATCCTTGATGCGTCGAGCGCATGACTTTAAGCGTACTACGAGATTAGCAACTAAGACGCGCTGTTGTACTATTGAAATAGGTTTTCCCTCACTTCCCACCCGTGGAAATTTCTTGCGGTTTATTGCATCGCCGCCACCTACAATCTTGAAAAATTTAAATGCAACGCCAATCTTCGATTTCCATCTTCCTGGATCCTCTTCTTTTATTGTTCGTTCTATTCAATAACATATTCTCATCCTCTTTCATATTCAGTAACACGTTGCGTCTTAGTGGAATTATCGCCTTCCTTAGGGTGAATAGAAACAAACAAACTAAGATAGATAGATAGATAGATAGATAGATAGATAGATAGATAGATAGATAGATAGATAGATAAGAACAGGATGGGAAAGAAAGAAAGAAACAAACAAACAAACAAGAAAAGAGACAGGTAAACACGCAAACAAGCAAATAATCAAACTTAGAAAGAGTCTAAGAAAGAAAGAAAGAAAGAAACTAAGAAAGAAGGAAAATTGACTGAGATAGATAGATAGATAGATAGATAGATAGATAGATAGATAGATAGATAGATACGAAGAGACTGTGATAGATAGTTACGAAGAGACTGTGATAGATAGTTACGAAGAGACTGTGATAGATAGATAGATAGATATGAACAGAGTAAGATGGATAGATTACAGAGTAAGATAGATAGATAGATAGATAGATAGATAGATAGATAGATGAATAGATATTAGCAGCGTAAGATAGATAGATTACAGAGTAAGATATATAGATTACAGAGTAAGATAGATATATAGATAGATAGATAGATAGATATGAAAAGAGTAAGATAGATTGATTACAGAGATAGATAGATAGATAGATAGATAGATAGATAGATAGATAGATAGATAGATAGATATGAACAGAATAAGATAGATAGATAGATAGATAGATAGATAGATAGATAGATAGATAGATAGATAGATAGATCTGGAAACTCTTCCAAGCGCCTGTTTGTTAATATTATTATACTTTCATAATAAAATCTGACATTTCGAAGCTGCCACACCAAACACGTACAATTCAGTTATGGCGGCCCTGGAATGTAATTGAACAAACACGCCCACGCAACGGCCCCATAACATCATAGACCTTGTGACAAGTCGCCTAGCCGTAGTTATTCAAATAGAGAGAGGATTTGCACATTAATAAGTTGGCTGTCTCTAATTTTATTCATGTCTAAATTTCTAAGAGACTGTTATACTGTTAGTTGATATCAGCGTAGAAATTGAAACCAGGGAGCAGTATTTCCTGTCTCATCTTCTGCGTACACTTTAGAATTAATGTCATTAGAAAAGGCATGAATCCGACAATTTCTCCACCCACTCAATCTGTGGATGACATAGAACGGAAGACTGACTTCTGTATTCTTGGGTGATAATCAATATAAGAAAAGGAAAATTCTGAATTTTAAACCGTGTAGAATGGAACCAACTTCCTTATTTTTTCAAGAATGCCTGGCAACTCACGGGTAATAAAGAAAAAGGAATCTGTGGAGAGCTATGAACGGCTACGTCTTGAAGGAACGTGTGGTTCAATTAAAGAGTAATAGCAAGGTTCACTAGTCTCTCTCTCTCTCTCTCTCTCTCTCTCTCTCTATCTATCTATCTATCTATCTTGCCTAAGATGGCACTTGGACGACAGCCAATTGAGGACAAATCTGAATTCTAAACTGTATTGAAGGAAAGTAGTTCTGGCAACAGTGAACGCCGGTTTTTGACCATTCTTCTTGACAAAACTTACAAAATTGTTCGATGTTAACTTGGGCTCTTGTATTCTTTAACTTGAACCACATATTTTCAGTTAGGTTTAAATCAGGACTTTGACTAGGCTATTCCAAGACTGGAAATTTCAACTCATTCCTTTGTGAATTTACTTTGATGTTTCGGATCATTGTCATGTTAGATCCAGTTCCAGCCTGCGTCCTGGTTATGAAGATAAACTACATCCAACAGCAAGGATTCTGATCAAGAGGTTTTGAGGAGCGTGGAACCACTTCTTAATTGCTGGTGTTCCCAGATTCACCCTGACCCGGTGTTGTAGCACATGTGAGGGTCCCAGCTATGGGCAAATAGTTAACCTCAAAACTGAGATAAAAAGCATTATAAATGTGTAAAAATAGGTTTAAATACCAGAAATACTTTGTAAAAAATCAAAACCATAAATAACTTTTTGAAGAAAAAAAAAACTATTACCAGCAATATATTTTTGAAAAAAATATTACCAGCAATACGTTTAAAAAAAATATTACAATCAATAATTTTTTTTTAAAATTACCAACAATACATGTTTTAAAAAACATATTACCAGCTATACATTTTTGAGGAAAAAATATTACCAGAAACAGATTTTTGACAAAACAAAATATTAACAGGGAAAAAAAAAGTTGTCGGCATTAAATAACCTATTTTGGTTGATATGCCGTAAAATACAACAAACCAAAATAAACCAGTTCCAACCTAAACCCAATATTCGAACCGAGGACAAGACACTTTGGTTCAACATTGCTTAATGTCTTTGAAACTACATTGTGGCGTCAATGCGTACTATTTACCTGTTCCAGCTGCAGAAAAGCAGCCCCAAATCTTAATGCTGCCGCCGCCATGTTTAACTGTTAACACCAAATTCTTTTCTTCAAAAGCCGTATTAGGAGCTCGCTAGATATACCACCTATCCTCCTTCCCACTCACCAGAAAGCTCTCGTTTAGTTTCATCCGGCCATAACACCTTTTCCAATACGTTTCTAGCTTATTAATATGAGCTTTGGCATAGTTTAGCCGATCTTGGTTGTGCTTTATCATAAGCAGTGGCTTTTTTTAGGCCATGATTTTGTCATACTGTAGACGTATGCACGTTGATTCAGACACGAATCAGGGAGCCTTAGAAAACCGCAGATGTCACAGCAGGATTGCCGAACTAGATGTCTACTTCCTCTTGCAAATAGACATCTAGTTATTTTTCACGGACGGCCACTTCTTGATTGTTATATTTAACAGCCACCCCTCCCACGAGGGATGTATGTGGCACAAGGCCGAATTTACCGTGGGTTCTCCGAGCCCGTAGGCTCGGCCAAAAATATTCCCTTAGAACCCGCATAAACGGGTTCAGGGCCTGTCTACCTCCCCGGACGAAACTTTACTCTTCGCAAAGCCTCGTCCGGGTTCCTCTCTGCTCGAGGCAGAGAGTTCGACAGATGAACAATCTGGTCGACTGCTTCCTTAATTTTCCAAGCGTAGCTTAGATGTGGCACAAGGCCGAACGCATGGAGCACTTAGTGAGAATCGAACTCATTATTCAGTCGTAAATGTTTTAGCGAGACAAGCTTGCTAGCCATTACACCACGCCTAAGTGCCCCGCCACTGATTGTGATACCGTCAAACCGAATGCCTTCCATTTATAAATAACTAGCAGCAGGGCCCGGCGTTGCCCGTGCTTGATTCAAAAATCGTACGACTCCTACAGCAATCGCTATCATTTGACTTAAAATATTTTTGCCTTTGCTTGCCTTTAAAGGAGTGCCTTTTTCCGTGCTGATGTTGCTACATGCCTTACTTCTTGCCTATCTCACACTGCGATTTTTTCTAAGCTCTATATTAAACATTAAATCTGTTACGAAAAAAGAACTAAACAAAATGAACACAAAACGATCAGCTTTAAAAAAGGACTCGTAACTAGAAAAACCGAATGAAAAAAGAATGTTAGCAACAAATACTTTTTCATACCCAACCCAGTTCTGCGGAATCAGAATCAACGTTGAGTTTAAGCAAGCGAATGAGCCAATTGGAGTAAAGTGCCATGCAGATTTAAATTTTTCCCACTTGTGACGAATGCGGCTATCGATTTTTTTTGCATGCTAGCATGCTAGTTAACATTCGTGTCAGTCAGCTGTTGGCTCTCACGCTGGCCAATAGAATCTTCTTGCCTATTCGTGGTCGCCAGCTATAGGCTCTCACTCTGGCCAGTACAAAATTTTCACTATCGATGGGAGTTGGGAAATGCAAAGTCAATCTTGGCCTTTCCGCTAACTTGGAGAATGTGTACGTAAATTTTGGTGCAAATCCGTCGAAAATTGCAGCCGTGCATTCGTTACACACACACACACACACACACACACATCCTGCCTTTTATAGATAGAGATTTGTCGTACGGTGGAGACGTGCACTTCAAATTGTTTCGATAGATTTTTGTAGCCTTCTCCATTATTACAGACTTCAATTATGCGATTTTTTTTCAAATTCACGATGATCTTTTAATTTTGGCATATTATTTTTAAAATTTGTCTCTTGCTGCAACTTTTTAACTGCACCTGTTTGCATACACAATAATTTATATTGGTTGACTGCAGTATACACAACTTACAAAAAAAATGAACACATGTCATTTTGATTTTTATATTTGCAATAAAAATTATTTGCATTGGCAACAATTTAAAACAAAAATACACTGCATAAGTGTAAGGGGTCACTTACTTTTGAACATCTTAATTTTTAACTAATATTTTTTATTCCACTTTGATAAAAAATATTTGAGAGTGGTTGTAATATATTTAATAAGTGTTTTTTTTTGCTTAATTAATATACAGTTTAAGATTTGTTATCTGGAAAAAAAAGAAATTTAAACAAAAATATTAACGGGATATACACTGGCCTTAGAAATAAACGATCATGGCAGGCCACAACTTCCTTTTCTTTGTTATCTTCAATAGTAGTAGATAAGTTCGCCCATCGTCCGGTTCACACTCCACTCCGGACTATTGAACAGGAGTAGAGGTCAATCCCTTGTTACCTGTTTAGGATTGGCTTTCTGGTTCCTTTCAAAATCTGTTTCAGTTCTGTACTCCTAACGATTTACCTTTCCTAGGCTAACTCCAAAAAGTAACACCCTACCTTGATTGTCTCTTTGGTTTTGTATTTGGTGAGTATTAATTAAAAAAAAATGATGACACAAGCATTTGCTCCTATCTCGATAATAAGTCTGGCCAGTTCCATACGGTCAAATTGGCAGCCGATGTTCAAAATGACCTCCAGTCTGTTGTTAAATGGAGCAAAAGATGGCTTATTAATTTTAACGCTTCCAAACCTAAACTTCCCTCTATCTGCATTCCATCACTAGGGCTGATGCTAACCTCCAGGAAAGTAACTAGTTGTCTCTTCTCGGGCTAACGTTGTCAGCTGACAAGAAGTAGAAAGCCTATATTGAATCTTTTGCTAGATCAGCTGTTAAGACAATTGGTTAACTGTGTCGTGTGAGACATTTTTTTCTTTCCATCTATCATACATATCTATAAGTCTACCATTCGGCCATGCTTAGAATATTGCTGTCACATATCGTCTGGTGCTCCTACTATTTATCTAGAGCTCTTTGATAAAATCCAAAGAATGACCAGCAATATTACCGGTCCTGATCTGTGTCCCTTGTATAAATAATGGTAAGTGTTCGGATCTGCTCTTCGCTATGGTACCCAAACTTTTTTGAATTTAAGCATAGTAGTAGATTGACGTCGAGATCTCATCAATTTACAGTTGGGCTGACTAGATGTAACTGTAAATTCTCTGTTAACAGTTTTTTTTTTCATCCTTCTCGCTCTTGAAACTCTCTTCCGACTCCACGCTTCCAGCCAATTCTGAATCCATCTTTCAGTATCTGTCTATATTTCTGAGGTATTATGTACACTATTTACATTATTCGGACTATTTGGGTTCTGTCACTGGATCAAACTAACGCCTTTATCCACTGTCACTGGATCTAAATAATTTGGGTCCTGTCACTGGAACTAACTAACGCCTTTATCCACTGTCACTGGATCGAACTAAAGCCTTTGTCCATTGTGCGTTGTACGCTCCGGCCTTCTTCAGGTTGTTGGAATGTCGAACTGAAGGCTCGCTCACTGGTGTTGCATGGATGTCAGTTATCAGTTATCTCCTGTTAATTCCCCTCTCCACTGCCTGAACTCACACTCTTTGGGTCCTGTCACTGAATCTAAACAACGCCTTTATCCACTGTGCCATGTGTCCTTGAGGACATCTGTGTATGAATTTCTGGGTATTATAAACCTAATGTCTTGACCTCCGTTTTTTTTGGTGCTCATATAGCAATTTTTTGCTGTTATCATTCCATGTTTTTACCAGAGCTAATATTGCAATTTTTTTTTTTTTTTTTTGTTATCGCTTTTCTCTGGCACTTCTTATTACTGGTTCCCATATTGTATTTATTTCTATGCTTGGTCGGCTCAGGAGATTTTTGTGGCCCAACATATGTGCTGATTCCTTAAGTTTACGAATTTTCCAATGGTGTTTGATGGTGTCTATGATCTCAACTTGATCCCACAGGACCCAAAGAGTGTCAGTTCAATACCCGGTTAAGGTAGTGGAGAAATGGAGAGGGGAATTAACAGAAGATAACTGATAACTGACATGCATTAAACATGGCACGTGGAACTAATAGTCTACCCCAGTGAGCGAAATAAAGGATTCAGTTCGACATTCCAACCACCTGAAGAAGGTTGGAGCGTACAACGGCCGAAACGTTGTAATAAATATGGCGACAAAGATAAGGACAATAGTCCGAATAATGTAAATAGTGAATCCATCTTTTTTAATATTATCTTAGGGGTCGACTTATTTTCGCGCAGAACTTTACATATGCATAAATAGTTATATTTTTATATGTATGTCTAATTATAAACAAGTGTGAGCTTATGGTAATCATACTGACACGTTGCATGACAATTTCAAAGAATCATATAAATGTCCCATCGGTTTTAAATGCCAGACATGATTTAATTCGTAAATATCCTTATCCGCCAAAGGAATTATGAAGACGTGTCGTCGTTCCTTTCTCTTTTTTTTTTCTCCTCCACCCGCAAAGCGTCACCCCTTTCATTTTATTTCCCTCTCCTCTTTTTGGTTCGTCTTTCAGTGTCACTTGCACCAGACATTACCACCCGTATGTCCTGACCCTTCCCACATGGAACTGGGTGGCTTTTCTTTATAACTGAACGTACCCCGATATTCAAAAAGGCAGCCTTGTTCTATAATTATGCGTTTTTATCATTTCATAACTCTGAAACGAAAACAAAATCAACAAAAAAAAAAGATCTGCGTTTAATCACGGCAAATTTCTTTTTGAAGTTCGTTTTAACGTTTCATAATTCGGTCAATCAATGTGCCACGTCCATTCAGGACATAGGCGATCATTCCTCTCCAAAACCTTCTTATCCCTTGTGTTTTTAGCAGTTTTTAACCCTTTGCTATGTGCCCGTTCCGCCATCTATTCACATATGCTTGTAAATGGCTTACTAACTTCCCCTGTTCCTCATGCCATCAGTAAACCACGTGAGGGTTTAGTTTTCCAAGCTCCCCTTCCTTATTATGCATCCAAGGAATTTCAGATGCTTTCAGTGAGTCGAAGTGTTTTTTTCTATTGACATTTTTTTAAGACTTCCTTGTTGCATATTCACTAAGTCCACAGAATTTTCATTGGCCTTCTATAGAACCGGATTTATGCTTCTCTTCTTGAGGAAATTGTCCTGCTTTCAGGGTCACAGAAGAGGGTGGATAACACATAGCAATTCAGCACTCGTTTCTTTTTAACGAAACCTTTCCGTTTCTCAGCACCTTGCTTAGCTTTTGAAATGCGTTTTTTTTTTTTTGTTGTTGTTGTTTTTTGCTAGTCCACTGCATGTTCGGATCTTGGTGTCGGATTTTCTACCCTTTGTTAAAGCACTTGCTAGATATTTGCACTTCTGCACCTGCTTGATGTCTCCTGTTCGTAGCACCCATCTTGGACTTTTTAATACCAAATTGAAACACTGATTCTCGGCCAATCACTGAAGTTAAGCAACGTTGAGCCTTGTCAGTACCAAAATGAGTGAGTGCTTGGGAATAGCAGGTGCTGTAATCTCGAATATGCGGATGAGGTAATGGAATAGGAAATCGCGGACCCTAGTTTCAATTCCAGTTGTATTCTTTATATTCAGTTACGCACACATATCACTGGGAAAGGTATTAATCCACATCTTTTTCCTCCTTTTTAATTTCGCGTATGCGCGTTTTTGATTTTGTCGACTGCACAGTATAGTAGGGTCAGTTGAGCACCATGACACCATTCACTCTGCCAGAAATTTGGAAACGGCATGTTGTACTGCTTGGCATTCGCACCGGAAGCTCAAATACAAAGTGTTTGAGAGTCAAACTGAAGACAGTTCAGTGGATTCAAAAAGTGTTAAATGATATACTCAATCAACATCATGCTGTTTAGATGTCTAAATTATGCAAAAATAGAAATAACATTGACATCTCATTTTAACATATATATTTACCAAAATTGCATAAAATATCTTAAAATACTAAAAAGTAAACTTCTTCAACAAAATTTCCATTGACTTCAACCAACGGCCTCCAGATGACTTCGTAATCTCCTGCAACTCTTCTGGACTGTCTCCTTGTTTAAGTTGATGAATGCTGCCATAATCCTTGCCTTTAGTTCATCTTTGGTGTTACAAGGAGTTTTTTTGGTGTCTAGCTCAACTGTACCCCCCACATAATGATCAAGGGGATTTCAGTCTGAGGAGTTATGTGGCCAGATGTAAGGAGTGATGTGGTCGAGGAAATTGTCTGATAGACATGACTGGGTTGTATGGCATGGTGCAGAGTCCTGTTGCCAGACATAGTTTCTTCCAGCTGTCACCGTCTTGGCCCAAGGCAGCACTGCTTCCTGGAGGTACTTGATGTATGGCTCCGTGTTGATTCTTAGGCCATATGGGAAGATGAATGGAGGCATGACATTGCCATCATGAGTGATCACTCTAAACAGCATGATGTTGATTGAGTATATCATTTAACACTTTCCGAATCCACTGAACTGTCCTCAGTTTGACTCCCAAACACTTTGTATTTGAGCTTCCGGCGCGAATGCCAAGCAGTACAACATGCCGTTTCCAAATTTCTGGCTGAGTGAATGGTGTCATGGTGCTCAACTGACCCTCCTATACTGTGCAGTCGACAAAATCAAAAATATTTGTATCTATAAAAAGAATCTATAAACGTAAAAATGACTTTAAAAAAAACAAATATATTCGAAAATCTAGTCAATACTAAAACGTTTGTTAAAAAAAAAATAATCGTAACGTTAGATAAGAAGAAAGATAAAAAAAGAGAGAAATAAAGAAGAAAAAATCGCAAATATGATACAAAGAATTTAAGAGGAAGATAGAGAGAAAAATGGGAGGAAGTGAGGGGGAAACAGGATGACAGATATACATATATGTACATATAAGTCTAGACAGAAGTTAAAAACGGTTGAAGATTAACAATGACCTATAATGTTAACTCTTGTTCAAATAGGAAAAAATTACATAAAGAAATACAATCTTTACATTTAAGACAGTTTTTGAGAGTGTAGATTAAAGAATATTAGAATTTAATATTAATACTATTATTTAATTTTAATATTATACAAAGTAATTTAATATTATAAATAAAAAATCAGACAATACTTATTATAAACTGTTGTGACCAACTAAATGGCTAAAGAAATAACAAAACAAGTGTTTCAGATATATCATATTTTAAACAGTAAGTACAACAGAAGAGTATTACACGACTAGTAAGTGTGTCGGTTGACCCAGCGTTCAATCTATTCGACTATTCCCCTAAGACCTTCTCTCCTACTAATCTCATAGTAGGCGGAAGAGTCCAACATAGGCTATTAAGAGGGAGGACACCATAACATAGACAAAAAAAACTGAATATTAAATTATAATTAAATAAAGGAAGAATTAAAATAAATAGATAAGTAATAGCCCCCGAAAACTTTAACAATATAATGAAAAAAAAATTTAAATAGATTAATAAAAATGTAAAATTATAGATTAAAATTTAGATTAAATTTAAAGATTATACAGATTAATTATAGATTAAAATATAAAGGATTAGATAGAATCATATATATTAAAAATAATTATAGATTATATTATAATAGAATATACAGATTAAATAAAGGTTAAATTAAAAATTAAAATATATAAATGTATAAAAATTATTTTATAGAGGGAAAGATCAATAACAAATAACATAGGACAAAAACTAAAAAATACAAAAAACAGCTAGCCATGAAACAGGTAAATAAAAGTAAATTTAAATCAACATATTTGAATGCACATAACAGATTTTAAAAAAAAAGAAAGAATAAATAAATAATATTCAGTGAAAAAATATAAAAAATAAAAATGAAAAAAAAAAAATTTATGGCATATGATATATAATAAAATAACTCTTTAAAATATGAGATATAGAAAAATAACTCTTTAAAAAAACATTTTTAATTAAATTAAAAAATGGGTAAATATAGAAAAATAACTTTTTAAATAAGCCTTATCAAGTGGTGGCGGAATAATAATATAAAATCTATATTATTAAATAAATCAAACATATTGTTTATGCATAAATAAATCATATAACATAAAAATAGAATAAACAGAAAAGAGGTCTCAAATACAAAAAACTACAGATATAAAGCAAATTTGACGAGATTCAGCTAGCAATAAAACAAAGGAAAACTAAAGGAAAATAAGAGAATTACCTATACCTAACATAAACCAAAGTATTATATATAAAGAAAACAATAGGAAGAGAGTTAAATAAAAGGAGTAATCAGAAAGAAAAAAATCACATACAGAAGATAAGTGAAGGTGGAAAGTGCGAGGTGGAAAATATATTATATCAGTTGGAATTTACTTCTATGACTATAGTTCATTCTTATTATTCTTAAATTTAATAATTCCAATTTACCCCTCCAAACTTAAATTACATCTGCCATTAGAGCTAGTAGAAGTCTAAGCAAAACCTATGAATTCACAGTCTATTTGAGGGTTCAGGTCTTTCTCCATCAATTCCTGATTTTTTTTTTTTTGGAGAGAACAGTTTCGTGTTTAAGTCTTAGGATGGAAAAAGTGTGTCTATGGTTATATAGTCTTTGTTTCCATTCCCCCGCAAAATCCCAATATAAACATGGTTGTTTGATCTATTTTCTTTGGGTTAAATGGTAGCTTGATAAATAACATTAAATGCTGTACATTTTCCCTCGACTGGGCAAAGATTGCTTCTTCTACAATTACAAGAGGGGTTCATACTAGATTTCTTGTTGACACCATTGAATTTGTTAAGAACACATTCGTTGTGGGAGTCAGTTATTTTAAACATGCTGTTTGCACATGAATAGCTTATTTTAATAGTTTTCTATTAAAGATCTTACTTAAAGGGTTGTTATTCTGAAAATGATTATTTATAAGTTTCAGGAAAACATGTTCAATATTAATTCTGAATAACCTACAGAAGGTGGGGGTTGAACCATATAATATTTCTTTTTCTATTTTGTGCATACTACTTCTTATATCCTCACCATTGTTATTTATGGGGTTTAAGTAAGATAGTTTATAAACAACTTTTCTGGAGAGCATTTTCCTACAATACCTTGTTCTTATTGAATATATCCTTATTAGATGACAGTTTATTAATTCTAGAACAAACAGTAATGGGTATCTGTTTCAAGATAGTATAGGGGTGGTTAGAGGTAACGTTAATGTAGTTAGGAATTTCATGTCCCTTATGCTGAGGTTTAAATGTATTAGTATTCAGGTTAAGTGTGATGTCTAGATAATTAACTATTTTTATACTGGAAGTGATCTCTATCTTAAACCCCAATAGCTTAAATGTCCTTATGATTTTTTTTGTAATTTAACAGTAAGAGGACCATTACTATTGGAAACATAAATAAGTTCGACATTTCTATATAGACCTACTAGTTTAGGGTCAAGAACCCTACTAAGCATCTCCAGAAGATCAGCAAATTGTGCCGAATCAAACGCTCCCATCGGACCGTCAAAGTCGTTATACCCACACTTAATCCAGGTGGGGGCATTAAATGTTAAGAGTGACTTCCTGGCTGAAAATATGATATTGGTTTCTTCATTACATATCACCATATGATTTTAAGCAAAATTTATGCAATCACTTATATTATTAAACCATTTGATGGTATCTGATGAGACTTTCCAAAGATTGGAATTTCGCTTGAAGATGGAACGGAGCCCATTTTAATTTAAACTCAATTTAATTTAAAGGATTATATTGAAGTTTTCCTCTCTTGTTTTGAAACATGAGACCTCTTATGTAGCGATTTGGAATCATATTTTTAAATAAATAATTATATATATATATATATATATATATATATATATATATATATACATATATTCTTATTAATATAAATGCTATTTCAATGGGTAAAGTAGATATCCTCGCTTATTTCTCAAAGAAGGAAATAAACGTCTATCTGACCACAAGATAGATTAAAAAAACAGCTAAACTTTAGAGGAATTTTTATGCAGGAATGTGTTAATTTCCTTATTATTATTATTATTATTAGAAACTCAATAACGAAACCATTCCGTCAAACCTTCTCTGTAGACTTATACGTTTCGTCTTGGAAAGCAACACGATAAAGTTTGGGAAAACTTTTTTTTCCACTAAATGAAAGGATGGGCAATGGAGACCCCACACTCCCATCCCCATGGCCATTAACTTTGCCAATGTCTTTCTGACAAATTTCAAAGAAAAACTACTTAAAATTTGCAAATCACGTGATGGCCATAAACCAGAACTTTGGCTTTGATTTATTTATGATATTGATTTCATTTGGGAAGGTACGCAAGAAAGTTTGCTAAAATTTCTACAATTTTCTGATAATTTGGACAAAAGAAGAATTTACGATCTCATATAAAATTTACATCTACTTTCTCCAAAGCTTGT